TTTGGAGAAAGTGACTTGCCTACTCGTCGAATCATCGATCCTTTTGATCACAATCTTCCCTCTCCCCATCAATTTTGAGTTAACCCTATTTCGGTCCTCCTCTCGACCTTGGTGATCTTCCCCGTTCTAGGGTTTTTCTAGATCTTTGCAACACCAAAGGTCGATGAAGAAGAACGAATCAGGAGAAAGAGAGAGAAAAGAAAAAGAGGAAGTAAGGGTCAACAATATTTTCGAGGAATAAACAAATAGGTAGTCTTATTTGAGTCGTATTGGTAGATACAACTCGAGGGCTATTTAGTAAAGTACCAAGTTAAAACCTAAAGATACGTAGTTATTTTTTCATAGAACAGATAAGACAGGAGAAATACCTCTGAAAGTATTTACAGCTCAACTGAATTTAAGCTGTTTTGATGTACATATATATAATGGGCACTACTTATGTTGTATCTCCACTAGAACGACTATCTAATATGGAAAACTTAAGTGAGATAAACTAACTAAACGTCTTTATTTCTATCCAATCACACCGAACCTAATTCAGAAAGGGGTTTTATTAAAAAAAATAGGAAGCAAAAGTATATTTGAATAAACTCAAGTGTGAACTGAAGCCCAAATCGTATCAAACTTAACCAATATATATATCAACCATTAGTATATATTCATGATCTGGAAAAAATCAAAAGTTAATTCAAAACTGAAGCAAAAATTGAATTAGTTTTTATATTATAAATATGAATTTGATAGTGACACAACAATATATGATATTAATAGAATAAATTACTTTAGTCAGAATTCAGAAAACATAGACAACATAATAAGATTAACTAAAAAGTAAAAATAATTTCGATAAAGGTATTAAGTGAACTGAGAATAATTATGCTCCATAGGTCCTCATGTATAAACAAATATAAAAAACATGACACTATTTTCTTATATATCAATAGAAACAAAAAAAACAAAGTACTTTTGTTTTGGCACGTACCAGACATGAACTTGGAACTACGGATATTATGTTCCATAGACAGATTTTGACCAAAAAAAAAAAAGACAGATTTAGATCATTTACAAGTTTCCAGATAAGGAAAATATCCAAAAACAGTTCGAACTAATAAGAACTGAACCGTACTTTACTTATTGAAACTATTTTATGTTGCATAATATCCAGATGTAAGTCATATTATGACTAAGTTGTAAAAAAAAGCCATATTATGACTAATTAATTTCCTTAAATTGTCTCTAACTAATTTCTTTTTTGATATAAGAAATGAACTCTAAAATACACATCTGTAGTTTTACTTTAGTGAGTTCTTCTTTTATAAAAGAAAATGCTATATTTTTTTATTTATAGAAAAATGCTTTTCTCCATATTTTCTGTTAATATATTGAAATAAGACTTCATCTATACTATTAAAGCAGGTTCCTATTGTTAAAATTTTGGATTCTACCCCTAGATTTTTATCACATTTATAAGATAATACCACTATTTATTTTTAGAATCTTAATTAATTAAACGATTTAATATCTCCTATATTTATGGTAACTGATAATATTTCCTATTTTGTGATTAATAATAATTTTCCTTTTATGAAAATTATGATTTTCTATTTAATTTTAATATCATATTTCCGTGCATTATATTATTTAGCGATCAAAAATTATAAATTATTATTTACTGTTTCATTTTATCCATAATAATGATATGCCAATTCAATTTGTTTTAAAAACTAAATTTTAGATATAAAATGAGTAAAAATGTAAACTTATCATAGGTTATTAATAACGAAAAGAAACTAATATTGTTATATGAATAAATTGTGTTTTTTTTTCTATTTCCATTGTTTCATTTTTTCAAATGACAAGAAAGTTTTTATTAAAGAAATTACAAAAAATCAATTTTCTTTAATATTAAAAATATGAATTATTTAACAAATTTTTAAAAATATATTATCAGTTTTTATGGGGTTACTTAACGGATCAACGGATATCATAATACAGATTAATAGCAGATTTTAAGATATATATCGGGTTGGCTTAAATTTTTAATTAGTAAATTTTAATTAAATCTTAACTGGATTATATAAAAATTGCCGGATGTACCGGTTAAACTATGGATCTGAGTCGGATATGGAAACATTACGTGAAAATCAAACATTATAATAGAACTTTTTTAAATATTAATAAAACAATTTTAAAATTTTTGTGTTTGAATAATTAATTTAAATAAATTTTATCAAAATGGTAAAAAATCTAGTATGTATTTTAAAGTTTCTTTATAGATGTCTTACAACTAAGCTTTTCAGCTCAGTTACTAATCTCAGTATGTAATTAACAACATATAAACCAAAGAATATCTGACATATTTTCAAAAAATAAAACGGATTAATAGTTCCTTCTATAATAGTTACCGTACCCTGGCGTTCCAACAAATATCAACAACTAATATAATAGCCACTTGTGCAAGTAAATATGATAAAGTGGGAGTATACAAATGTGTAGCAGTCGTAGACGTGGGTGTAGCAGAAACAGCACCTGAGATTACCAATTCAGAGATGCTTTCACACGTTCCTCGGCATAGATTCCATACACCTGATCCAATTCTTTAATACAGATTTCTTTTGCTATATAGATTACAGATATTATATATATCTACTATCCAGTCTTACAAATAATTGTTTTTTAACAAATAATTTTTGTAAAAGACCAAACTTGGACTGAAGGGAGAAAAATACGAACTTAGATTATTGATGGATGTAGGGGTGGGCACGGATCGGATATCCGGGTTTTTTAAGGTATTTGCTTTGCTTCGAAAAAATACGGATATCCGGAAAAACGGATATCCGGAAAATAAATAGATATTTGCGGATATTTACGAATATTTACGGATATCTCATCCATTTTAATTAGTACAAATAATCTTAAGATTTTGATACAAATTTTCTTTGCAAAATATTTTTTTGCATGATATATAAAATAAAACTTAAAAGAACTAGTGAATTTATAGATTTTGTAATTTTTTAAAGTTTAAGTTACAATTATAATAACACAAAATTTAAAAAAAAAATATAATTGTCAAAAATATTTTATCTCTTTTTATGTAATACTTTTATATAAGTAATAATTTGAATAGAATTGTTCAAAATCATGTGCTAAAATAATAATTATATAATTTTATACAATTAAATTTTTTAATATAATCAAAATATACATATATTTATATATTTACGGATCGGATCGGATATCCGCTTTCCAAAATTTTAATATTTGTGATTTGCTTTGATTTTAACGGATATTGAATTTTAGTATTTGCTTTGATTCGAAAGTTTACGGATATCCGGAATTTTCGGATCGAATCGAAACGAATAACGGATCGAATCAAATATAACGGATAAAATGCCCATCCCTAGATGGATGTGGAGGGTTTCAAAGTACACGCGTTTGGCATTTTTGTAGACCTTGAACTACCTTAATTCATTACCAACTTCAATTGCAAACACAACTTAGCAATTTACAAATTTATGAAAATGAGCATATATCGACTCTCATTATGCGTCACACAATTGATTAGCTGTTTAAAAAATTCATCTCTACGTAAGGATAATCCTGGATTTGCTAATAATATTTTACGGCTCTGGTTTTTAGATCGTACCAATGATGAACATGCACCAAACCTACCATAAAGTCTTGGTTCAGATTTCTTTTCTCTACTGTGAATTTCAGTTGTAAAAGCTTTTTTTTTGAGAAATTTTCTTTTCATAAAATCCCTTATAGCAGAAATATTTATTAATGTGTATGTTTCAATCAATAAGGATTATCATATATATATATATATATATATATATATATATATAAAATGTTTCCTTGTTCATTTATGAATTTTTTTTAGTTATTAAATTTTGAGTTCTTGGATCATAAATTTATTAAATATACGATTATTTATTATCTATGAAGAATTAAATATATCATTATTTTTTTAATTTGGGGCAGATGGTTCAGTCTTTAAACTACTTTAACAGTCGCTAACTACATATAGTATCATATTTCAGATATAACAACTATTTTAAAATAGAAACTATAGTTTTCCATTATAAGTCCAGTCTTTTTACTTTAGAAAAGCAAGTATCACTAGATTCACTGTCAAAGCTTTTGAATAGTTTTTGGTTAGACCCAAAGGGTACAATAAAGGTGAAGAACCAGTGACCACGTGGGCATCACTCATTTTGGTCGCGACCAATCAGATCTCGATTCAACACACATCTTCAGGCGTTTTCATTTTCTTCTTTATATTTGTTTCCTAAAAATGAAACTTATAGTAGTAAATTTCCTTAAAACTACTTATAAAAAGAAACTAGGAGTATTAATAAATTACTAGGTGATAACCCGCGCCTTGCGCGGGGTGAGTGACGGAGAGTGAAAGAAATTGTATCGGTTAATATAACGTATAACTTATTAGTATTTTGTTAAAACAACGCTTGAGTGATGGATATGTACATTGCATAATATTGTTTATCCTATCTTAGCAATTGTTGATCTTGGTTCAGCTTTCATTGCTCATGACTCCCATGGTATAGGTTATTGTTCCATAGCGGAAGAGCCTTTGCACCTATATCATTACATCATATTTTGATATAACGTTACGACAAACGCACATGTTCTCATTTTTTAATTTCTAATAGATATCATCAGAGATAACACTTTGTTATTTTATATCAAAGCATACTTGCATTTTTTTCACATCATCACATCAACAACAACTTGAAAATAAGATAACACCTTTATATTAAATATAGTATCATCCAATCGACTTATTATATTGTTAACTAATTATTACATAAGGTTGCCTAATGGTTAGCACAAAACTACGTAGGGAAGAAGCTATATTATCAATGAATCAAAACACTTGTAAAAAGCAGTTGCAATATAATAAAAACACCAAACGAATACGAAAGCCTCTGTAAACGTCCTTGATACAAAATCTGCCTTCAGCCACTTTTATCAAACATCTACTTTTTGATCCGAACCGAACACGCTTTCTTTGTCACCGAGCTCTCATCATATTCTTCATCCACGTCCAACATGGTTGATGGTAGCCGCTTAGCTGGAGTGAGTGTGCTTCCTTCTGCTTCCTGGGAAGACCCTCCAGACACCATTAGTGAACCCTATAGCACCGGAACAAAAATGTTAAAATAAACAACTAATATATCAATCAAGAATCAAAGGATCACCGAATAAAATACAAACACAATACCTCCGGTGCATCTGAAATTATGGAGTTCTCCAAAGCCAAAGTAATGTTTCCTCCCTTCCGAAACAAAGAAAAAGGCACATTCAAGAAACTCACGATGGCCGTAATGATATCTTTATTAAAAGATAAAAACTTTTATGCTACCTTTGGTTTACTCAACTCCTCAAACTCGGTAATCATGTCAATATTGGTGACGATTTTTAGCACTTTGAATGTGCCACTCTTGTAGAGAAAATTTTCTTTCTCAATGCCAACCTTGAACAGGTAGGTTTTACCTACTAAATCTTTCAGTGCAAAAGGAATATCACACGGTTCTTGCATCTGTCAATAAACATGAATTCGGTTAAATGACATTAATGGATGAACGTATTTGCAGTTCACCAGTAGTAAACCCGACGTACCTCATCAATGTTAGTTCCAGTTAGCTCACTGCAAGGGCGATGAAGTAACTGGACTGCAAGATTGTCGAACAATAGGAATTTTGCATTGCCGGTATTGTCTACCACTGCCAAATGCAACTTGTATCTGACACAAAAAACAAATATACTAAAGAAAGGAATATATATTTAGGTGCATGCCATGATCAACAAAAGTTATGGTATACTATTTACCTTGGCACCAACTTCGGGTTCTTCACCTTGCATTTGACGCAATAGTAGTGGAAACCAAGTTCATCGTCATCTTCTCCATCGTCAATGGTATCATTTGGTACATTCAATACCTTCTTCGAACACACTTTGCAACTCAAATAATACCAACCCATATCGGAATCAATAGCTGCTATAGTGCACATCACAATACACTGCTCAACCTGGACGATTAAGGTTTAATCAATATTAGGAAAAATAATATGTTGACGGCTTATAAAAACATCAGTTATTTGCATTATACTAATAGTAAATTGAAAATGGCATATATAATAAGGACCTGATTCGATTCAACCATCTCATATATGGTTTTCCTCGGAGTGTTGATGAAAAAATCATTTTTATCTCCAACTCTATTTGTCAGGGCAAGCGGTTTAGGTTGGACAACTACCAATGGAAGTTCATCTTTCGGCAACCTTGGAAGTACAACAAAGAACAAAGTAGTTACCTCATAATATACATATATCCCCTATATATTCATGAAAAGTTACATTGAAAACGAAAACCTACAGTGACAAAAATGTATCCACCTCAGCCATAAATGGATTAAGCTCGACATCCGAAACATTGTAAGCGTTGGAAACACTTCGTTCCTCTGCAGATGACAATGTAAATGTTCATTACTCCACACATATTACAATCATTATCTCTAAAGATGTATAACATAACCAATATCTAACAACGGAGTCATTACCTTTCCAAACTTTAATTTTTCCAAACCGCAACACACAAACTATTGCTTTATCACCGGCACTTCCAATAGCCTCACTG